CTTGTAGTGATTGCCCTGTTTTCAGCCTCCCAAATGCCCGGATTACAGGCTTGTGCCACCATATCCAGTCTCAATCACATTCTCAGTGGGCCAGGCCAGCATTGCATACCAGGGATCAAACTCTGGCCCCTCTGCTCTACCTAAGCAGAAGCTTTAGTCTGCTGAGCTATCAGGCCAGCCCCAGATGGTCTTACTATGTAGTCCAGGATGGGCTTGAACATATTATGTAGTCCAGGTTGGCCTCAAACCCATGGAGAATGGCCAGCCAAATAGCTCAGCGGATTAAAGCACCTTCAAGCAGGCTCAGGGGCTGGAGGTTCAATCCCTGGGCCTGCAGTGTGGGCCCCCCAGGGCATGCTGAGATTGCAATTAATACTGGGCATGGTGGCACCTGCCTGTAATCCCAGATCTTGGGAGACTGTAAAGAGGAGGATCACTGGGAGTCTGATCTAGTAGTGAGACCCTGAACATCCTAAAATTAAAAAAAAACAAAAACAACACCTCATGGCTAGCCTCTTGCCTCAGCCTCCCATGTGCTGAGACTATAGGTGTACACCACCACACCAGGTTCCTAACAGAAACTTGCAGGAAAACAGAAAAATTGTGCACTTCAACTCAGCATGGGAAGAATAGGAAAAAAGGGGCTAGGAAGATAGCTCAGTGGCTTAAGCACCTCCCTGGCAAGCACAAGGTCCTGGGTTTGATCCCCAGTACAAAAAAAAAAAAAAAAGCAGGAAAAAAATACGTTTTTAAAAACATGTATTTCATACCAGGGTGTCACTACACAGCAGCTCGGACTTGTAGTGATCCTCCTGGTTTCAGTCCTCCCAGTGCTGGCTGGGATTACAGGCATGCACCACCATGCCCGGAATCAGTGTCCAGCTTAGCGCGCCCTCACCGGCCCTAACATTTAAAATTTCAGGCCAGTAAGATAGGTCAGCGGTCTAAAGTGCCTGCTTAGGCAAGTGCAGGGATTGATCCCAGCACTACATGCTGCAACCAGCCCTGCCCCCAGAGCAGACTGAGCTGGCCACAAAAATAAATAAATAAAATTAAAATTTCATGTGTCATTTTGATATAAAGTGAGTAAAAAACAGGTTTTTAAAAAAGAAAAAAGACACCTTAACTGGGAAGTTCCTCTTTAAGAGGAAATGTAGGAGGCATGGAAATGGTGGGGGAAAAAGAATCATACCAATGTCACAACAACAAAAAAAGAGAAAGGACCAAAAAATTCACCAAGTTGTTAATACTGAAATACAACATACAAAGTTTAAGATACTTACTCTATGAATTTAAGGATAGCGTCTGGGTAGAAAAGGTAGTTGTTTTCCTATATGCCATCCAGTCCAAAGAGCTGAGCAGATTATTAACATGAGGTCCCTCATTCTCCTAACAGATCTACATCTCTATTTTTTTAAATTTATTTATTTATTTATTTGTGTGTGTGTGTGTGTGTGTGTGTGTGTGTGTGTGGCCAGCTCAGCCCACCAGGGGGTAGGGCTGGCTGGCATGTGGTGCTGGGGGATTGAACCGCAGTGCCTGTGCTTTGTTAAGCTTGTTCTAAGTAGGTGCTTTAGACCACTGCCATCTCACCAGTCCCCTCTACATCTCTATTAAACAATGGTGTCCACACACAGTCAAGGGTGAACTGTATTTCCAACTAGTTGCCTATAATAGTAGGGAAAATATATCACAGGATGACAGTCAAGCTAAAAATTTTTTTAAATGCATAAAGAATTAAAAGAAAAGGTAGGTCATTAGGACAGCAGGAAACTAGGTCCTTAAGAATAGGGGAAAATGATACCTAAGAGCAGGGCTAATTTCCCTGTTGTGTGGCTTATCAGATCAGTGCATTGAAATTTTAGTAAGGAATGTGCTATAATAATTGAGACAGGCTTTAGCTTCTGTAACCCACATACACAACATAAATTTCACCCCAACATGCCTGCTGTTCTATCTCTGTAGCGTAACACTATACTCTGTAGTGCTAAGAATGCTTCAAGATAAGGTTACAGCAGCCTAGACAAGGATCCTGTTTTATGTGTCCAATGCATTACTGAAAAATAATCCTCTCTTTTAGTTACTTTTCTTTGGTTTGTTTGGCAGAACTGGGGATTGAACTCAGGCCCTTGAGCTTGCCAGGCTAGCACTTATTCTACTGAGCTATCTCCCCAGCCACTAATCCTCTTTTTTATTAAAGAATAAAAATGTAGTTCTACAACCTGTAAATTACAAGTCTAATAAATTCAACTATAAATTACACAATGACAGTTACAGCCTTAAAATTTAATATTGGTATTAGTGGTAGGCTTTATCTGGTATTTTTATGACTTGAATACAGTATGATGAATACAAACTCAAATTATGATTTAGTATTTGGAAAAAGCGGAAATGATCAATTTTTATTCCAACCTATAATTTTGATACAGTATAGTTTGTCAAGAAATTGAAAAGCCAAGCATAATGGAACACACCTATTATTCTAGCACTCAGGAGGCTAAAGGTAGGAGGACTGCTTCAAGTTAAGACGGCCTGAGCTATATAATCCCTGCCTCAAAAAATCCAATCAATCAAAACAATTTTATGACTGGGCCAGGGAGATAGATAGCTCACCAGCTGTCTTAAGTGCCTACCTGGCAAGCACAGAGACCTGGGTTCAATTCCTGGTACCGCATGTGCTGAACACATGCAAGCTGGCCACAGAAAGTGGGCATGATGGTGCATACCTGTAATCCCAGCACTGGGGAGGCTAAAACAGAAGGATTGCTATGAATCAGAGCTGCATAGAGCGACCCTATACTAAATGCATAAAATAATTGTAGGACTCAACCAGTAGCATCTTGATATAAGAAATGTTTAGCAAAGGATGAGTAAATTATAGAACTATAAGCTTTATCATATCTACCTTTTCTCAAGACATTAAACACACACAAACAAAAGTCACAAACAAAATTAAGGAACTAAAATCGTTGTTTTCTCAACTTTGTAGGTTAGGAGGAACATTTCCTGACACCGGAAATCAGTAGGTCACCTTCACTTTCACAAGTCAGTGGCTGAGGCTACAGTTTTTAAATTAGGATAGCACATCATTTTAAAGTTTTTGGTATTCTTAAGAAGAAAAGTTTTATTACTAGAAAGACTGTATAGTACAAAACTATAATAGTGTAGCAGTTCTTAAACTTCATTTTGGAGTCTGCAAAATGTTATGACTTCTTTTATTTCATGTTTTTTCTATCAGCTCCTCCCACTAAATCAAATGAAATCCTCCAAGCTAGCTGATAAAACTGGTTTAGTAAGCTAAAGTCTGTAGTGGTCAACATGAACCAGAAAAAGCCCTGACTAAAAAGACCCAATATAGCACTCAAGATTATTTTTCATCTAAAGCTCAAAGTCAGTGTTCTGTTGAATCAAGTCCTAGACGCCTCCTCAGAAATCCTCAGCTTGGACAGCAATGCATAATACAAAACCCATAGTTGAATGCCTCTCATGTTGGTCTTCTAAATGTGTACCATTTCTAATGTCTTACCATTTCTTATACTGTAACATAAATTAAAAAAAAAAGATTTCTTGAAAGCAAGTGCCAATATTCAATTATTCCCCAAATCTTGCATAACTGTATCTGTTAATCTGAGCAACAGATCTGATGATAAAAATAGATAATATCACAACCATTGTTAATTAGCTATTCCTGTTCTGAAAATCTGTAGCATCTGCATTGTTGTTGTCTTTTTTTTCTGTCTTTTTTCTATTTGTTTTTGCTTATTTTTACCCTTCAAAATAAAATTAAATTAAAAAAAAATAAGCCCTCAATTTGACAAAATAGCACATTACATTACCCATCACTGCCCTGAGTGGCCTCAGGTACTTGAACCACTATCTCCATAAAAATATAAACTACAAAAAGTAATTTTGTGGCCTGGTGAGATGGCTCAGTGGTCTAAAGCACCTACTTAGAACAAGCTAAACTAAGCAAAGCACAGGGACCGCGGTTCAATCCACCAGAACCACATGCCAGCCAGCCCCGCGCCCTGGTGGGCTGAACTGGCCACACACACAAAATAAATAAATAAATAAATACATTTTTTTTTTAAAAAAGTAATTTTGTGATGCATCTCAGTACTTGGCCAGGTGTGGTGGTGCACTCCTGCAATTCCACCACTTGGAGGCTGAGGCAGGAGGATTACTGTTTGAGGCTAGCCTGGGGCACATAAGTGAGTTCAAGGCCAACTCCACTACATGGTGAGAGTCTGTCTCAAAAAAAAACAAACCAGTTGGGCTTTGTAGCACACATCTGTAATCCCACCACTCAGGAGGCTGAGGCAGGAGGATCCTTACAAGTCTGAGATCACCCCAGGCTACAAAGTGAGCTCAACCTGAACTGTATAGCAAGATCCTGTCTCAAAAAGATAAAACAAAACAAAACCTCAAAACCAAACTAAACCAAATGAAAAACCGAAGTCTTCAGGGGAAAGCCACTAGAATATGATCAATATCTAGTCTTTGGGACTAGCCTTATACTCTGCTTTTAAGTCTAGAAAGCACATATCCAACTCACTAAATTTTCTGATTTGGGATTCTCTATGCTAATATTATTCACACTTAGCCAAAATATCTATTTCCTTATTTTATGGATGCAAAAATAAAGACGTTACAACATTTACTTTCTTTCTTGCCATAAGCCAAAATTACCGCTGAGGCTAGGTGTAATGGCTCACACCTGTAGTCCCAACACTCAGGAGGCTGAGGCAGAATTATTCCTCCAAATTTGAGAAGAGCTTGGGCTATTTAATGTACTACATATTGAGACCAAATTAAATAAAGAAAAAAAGGCTATGGTGGCCACTGTGCTAACCATCATTCCAAAGAGTCCTAATCATCCACTTAGAGGGACCTTGGTTGCTGATGACTTTTGCAGAATGGGAAGTGCCCTTCTAGCAGATGGTGATGCTGGATAAATAATCCAGTAATGAAAGCACCCTGCTGGATGGGTTTCCACTCACCCTCGGTGACATCCTGGGGGTTGGAGGTCCGGTCACTGGCAGGATCCAGGGCAACAGTTGCTAGAGAAGTGGTGGCCCCAGACATCTCACTCATAGGCTCACTACGGCTTGTTTCTGGCACACTTTCCCTGGAGCTAAATCGTACACGGGAACTAGAACGAGAGCTGAGGTCCGGGCTAGTGTCTGACAAGCCTGGAATGTCATCGATCTTTGTTGGTGTCACCATGAACCGAACTGAAGCCATCTTTGTGGTGGTTTCTGGAGGATGCATGTTTCTTTTCCTTTTTGACAAAGAAAAAGGACAAACGCTGCAAAAATCTTTCTCCTAGCTAGATACTTCTGATCATAAAAATAGACTTTAAACTCAATTACCTTAGTTCACATCCCTCAAAAGGCCCCAAATGAGAATCCTTCTACTCAAGAATTCAAGACAACTGTCCCAGAAAAAGTACTACAAATGGCTTAAAAATTATTTCTGAGAAACAAGAACGATGCCAATCCTGTGTAACTTAGTTCCTTCGGAATGAAGAACTACCTAGCTGTGTCCCCTGGCCCAGAGCTGAGCGCGCAATGCCATGCTCTCCCAGCACGGGAGCAGCTTGCCCCAACCCCAGGCTCCGGCCAGGCAGTTCCTCTCCCCAGTCCCCAGGTTCCTCTGTCTGCGGAGTGTCCACAGCTCTAGCTGAGCAAAGCGCGAGCAGGCCCACCCTGATTAGGTGAATTGAGCATGGATCAGATTGCGAAAAGACGCGCGCCCGGCCACCTGTTGTGCATCAGGTGAATACCCCACAGGTCTGGCTGGGAGGAGGTGTGAGCAGAGCCACCCGCTGTTTTTGAGGTCGAGAATCCACTTGGGTCTGGTGCAAGAGGTGCGCACGCATAACGGGAGGAATAACACACTAGGGATGGAGAAGGCTGAGGACGCAGGGCAGACGATTCCTGCCGCCGAGAGTGCGGGGGCGGCGCGCCCGCTCTTCTGGCAGGGAGTCCCTGGATCTGCAGGAGACTGTGGACTCAGGACACCGCGGACAGCAGCTCGGGGTCGCGCCAGGTCCTCGCCAGGCTCGCCGGGCTGTTCCCGCGCGTGACAGGTCGCGCCACCCCTCTGCCCGGAGACCGTTCGCCCCGGCCCGGCCCGGCCCGGCGCAGGGTAGCCCCACCGCTCTTTCCTCGGTCCCGGCAGAGACGGCCACGCAGGCTGGCTCTACGAGCGGCAGCGGAGACAGGCGGCGCGGGCGGAGGTCGCAGATGCGGGCTGGGCGCCTGCTGAGGCGGCGCGCGCAGCTGTTGTTTACTAGCCGCTAACTGTTTCCCAGCCGGGTCGCGCGCGGCTGCCGCCCCCTCCCCCGCCAGACGCAGGAGCGGCCGTTACGTGACCTCCCCACCCCCCGCTCCGGGCCCGACGGGCTGTGCCCGCGCCGCCGCAGCCCTCCCTTTCGCTCCCCGCTCGTTCCTCATTCGAGGCTAACCGTCTTGAGAAGCCTCGGAGGCTGGAGGGCCGCCCCGTCTCGCGGGCGCCCGAGCCGAGCCCCGCCCCGCCTCTGCAGCGCGCAGTGCGCCTGCGCACGCTTGCCGCGACGAGGGGCACGACGGGAGCGCAGTCCCAGCCGGAACGTGGGCGCAGGAGGGTTGCCCGGGTGGAGCAGAAATCCCACCTAACGTCGGGACCCGAGAGCTGGCTAATTAAAGAGTGACTCTGAAAACACCAGTTACAACTCCCTGAGACCCGAATTTCCCATTACAAGACGTTACCTTCATTTTTAACGTAGATATTTTTGAAAAAAATTTCCTCAAATTTACACAGTATACATCTCCCCCTTTTTCTTTCTGTTCTTTTATTACTTTTTTTGAGACATCTTTTGCTATGTTGTTCCGGCTGGCCTCACACGTGGCCTCCTGAGTGCTGGGATCACAGGTGGCAGGCGTGCGCCACCACACATGGCTATATTCCGGTCCTTTTAATTAATTTATTTGGCATAGTGTCTCGCTAAGCAGCTCAGACTCGTAGTGATCTCACTGTCTCTGTCTCCTCTGCGCTGAGATTACAGGCATACACCACCACGCCCAGGTTCAGTGGCCTTCGGGGCGTGCCTGGGGTTCAGGGACTTGCTCTGCATGCGGTATGGGGGATCTAACCCGGGTCCTTGGGCTTGCTAGGTAGACACTTGGACCGCGGGACTATCACCTGGCATCTACATTTAAACTTCCATTAAAGAAAGTATCTTTTAACTTTGGAGCTAGAAAAGACAGTTCACATCTTTCCCCTTTTACTGAATTTATCGGTACTGAAATGTTTTGTATCGGTGCATATTAATACTGAGATTCATAATGGTACATTCGCACATGCATCATGCTTTTACTGTTTTCATCCCTGTGTAACCTCTGACCACTTTTTGAGACAAAGTCTTGCTTGATAGATAGTCCAGGCTGGCCTCAAACTTGTAATGCCCCTGCCTCAGTTTCCTCAGTGCTGGGATTACAGGTGTGTGCCCCTGCACCCAGGGTTTAGTGATTAATTAATGCATAGTTATTATAATTTTTTGTTCGGAAAGTTTACTGTGACTTTGATCAAAACTCCTAAATTCCAGAAACCAGCCCCTCACTTTGCCTGGGTTCTTCCTCTTCACAAGTGGGATGTCTGAGCACTGGATTGAAACTGTTTTGAGGGGCTGGTGAGATAGTTCAGCAGACTAAGTGCCTTCTTATTTAATCCAGGGACCATACAAATGCTACACTGGGTGTGCTGGGCCCACAGAGACCAGGCGTGGTGGCGCATGCCTGTAATCCCATTGCTGGGGAGGCTGAAAACAGGAGGCTCATGAGTCTGAGCTGCATAGTGAGACCTTGTATCCAATAATTAAAAATAATAAAAATATAAAAACTGTTTTGAGACCTGAGCCTGGAAATCTTTTATCAAATTATTAAAAAAAAAAAAAAAGCCTGGTAAAAAGAATTTACCATTTAAGAGGTAAACCCATGGCCAGGGGTTATCTCAGTGGTACACTTGCTTAGATGCCTGAGGCTATTGATTACATCCCCAGCATCAGAGACAAAAATTAAAGCTTCATTCTTTAGAGAGCCTGCAAGTCTCCCTTCACACTGACAGCTCTCTTGCGAAAACAATCCATTTCCTGAAAGGATCACTTTTTTTGTTTTTTCAGGCAGGTGCAAACCAGACTTTCCTTTCTTAAAAAAATGCTAAATTTTTTACTCAGATTTTGTTCTTTACCATTTGCATTAACTCCTGTATACCACCTAAATTCAAACTGTTTATCTCTTGTGAGTCTTCCTCTTCCCAAGTACTATCTAGCACTGTAAATGCATATCGCTATAAATACACCTATAATCGCAGCACTCAGGAGGCTGAGGCAGGAGTGCTTTGAGGTCAAGGCCAGCCAAAACTACATAGTAAAACCCTGCCTCAAAAGACCAAAAAAAAAGAAAAGCATTTAAGTCTACATAGTATTAGCACAGAACAACTTTAATCATTTTTGTTTTTGTAAGATAATAGAATTTCATTCAATGTTGGAAAAAGGAAAAAAAAAAAAACCACAAAACTAGTGGCAGTATTAGTAACTTTAGTTGTTAATAAACCTCCAGAAGCCAAGGAGAAAAGGATTTAAAATCGCAGATGCTAGCTTGGGCAATTTAGTTAAGATTCTCAAAATTTAAAAAAAGGTTGGGGAGGGCCAACCAGATAGCTCATCTGACTAAAGCACCTGCTGAGGCAGAGCAGTGGCCAGTTCTATGGTGTGGTGTGCCCACCCCGCCCCTGGGGCAGGTGGAGATGGGATTGGGACTGGGTGTAGCAGGGCACATCTGTAATCCCAACGCCTGGGAGGCTGAAAATGGAGAATCACTACAAGTCTGATCTTCCAGTCTAGTAGTGAAACCCTATAGATCCTGTACTAAAATTAAAAAAAAAAAAAAAAA